ATATACATATATTATTTGTTTTTCATTAACACATTCAGGACAACAGTGTCGATATGTAGGGAAAAGGGAAGGTGCACCAGGAATTGATGATGGGAAGAAGGCTATATAGAATAAAAGGCCAATTGAATTAAATCCAAACCCAATGGGTCAGGGAGGAAGGGGAAAAAACAAATCACAGACAAAGCAGTGGAGTACGGGAAGGAAAGTGTGGGAAATGGATTCTATGGAAAAAAAAAAAACCTTGAAAACAATGAAGCAACCCAAAGCATGTACCAGACCAACAAGGTCATCTGGAAGTGACCAACAAGAAATTTGGAAGATGGTAAGAAACAAAAACGTTGAAAGGAATATATCATACGAGCCATAAAAATGAAGGTTAATAAAAATGATCCAGAAGAAAGGTAACAATCGAGCCGAAACAGCAGAGAAACCCAGATTTGTGGCATCCAGGAAAATCAATCAGAAAGACCTGAACAGGAGTAACATGGATGAACAAACATTTGGGGGAAAAAACTGATGGAAGGAAAAAAAGAACTAATATTATAAACTGGATGTAATCCTGTCTGAATATATCAACAGCCAAGTGGACGATGAACTAGATGACAAAAACAAAAGAGGTAACTACCTGGGAATTGATAAAAATTCAAAAACTTCATGTGGAGGAGTACCCCATAGGAAGCAGAGTGACCAAAAATTTGGAGGATCAAAAGGTCACTCCAAGGGAGAAAATATGATGGGACTGGAAAGTCAATAAGCAATGAGGGCAAAACAACTGGAACCAGGAAATATATGTTAAGTGTGTGAGTTCAAAAAGGGAGATCCACTGTCTACCACAAAAGGAACAAGAATGAACGTCCCCTTGGAAATGAAACATGATTAGTCAAGTCCAAACCAAATGAAGAAAGCAAACGAAAGCACATTAGACTGGCAGATGTGTGAAGGGAATAAGACCTTTTGCCTGGAGACAATAGACCTGTAGCCTCCTACTGATCGAACCACATTCCCAAACACTGGAGATGAGCATCAGGGAAGAGAAACAATCCATAAGAGGTGGGAAGGAAGCGGGAAACCCAATGTTGTAGGGGTATGATCGTCTATCAACACATACAGACAAAGAGGGATGGAAGAAAACCAAGAGGAAAATCAAATGGATGGTCCCGATGGAGGGGTGTCTATAAAATATGGACAAACATATCCAACTGGAAAATCCAACTACCTGAACTGACTGTGGAAGAAGTACATGAGTATGTTAAGACTACCCCTGTTCAGAAGGAGCTAACAAAAGCTAGACATCCAATGAATGGTGTAGGTAAAATCCTCCAAAATTTAGAAGGTGGGTAAAATGCAAACCACCCCATAAAAGACATATGGTACCAAAACAAGTCCAAAGGGCAAGGCACAAAACTAAGAACAAATAATGTGGGGAAATAGCCTAAGATAGTGTCCTGAGAAGTGGAAAATAACAACGTGTATTGTGAGCATTCACAGACATGCAGAACTAGCAAATCCAAATATAATGAAAGGCTACATAATAAAACTGAGAAGACCCAAGAAGTCAGTGAGGTAGGAACGATTGATCCAGAAACAGCATTGAGCAGACAAATGAAGAAAACCCATAGGTAGGACAGGTAAAGGATATAGAATATCTGCTGTACTATATTCAATTTTTTTATTGATTTTTTGTTTCATTCTGAGATATTGTTATCTTTATTCTTTTACATGTCTTGCAATTTCCCGTGATACAAAATGTGCAGGAGAAGCCCCCAAACAACAGATTAGTGGAGAAAAAGATCTGACTGTAAGTCCCTATTAGCAGTGGATAATAAACAAACAGTAATGCCCCACCAAAGAAGATTGCAAAAGGGAAGAAGCCATATGTGTTGGGAATGAACTGAAGATGGCCAACCCCCCAATATGGAGGGAATGAGGAGGAGGTATCCCACAAAAATTCCTAAATATGGTTGGAACACCTAAGAAAGGAAGTGGAAAGTAAACATTACCTGTAGGAGAGCAGATAGGGTGATATGAAGCTGAAAAACTAAGTAAGGGAGTAAATGGAGAGGATTAACAGAGATCTAAAGGACATAAAACCAAGAAGAAAATCTGCCTGATGGTAAGCTAAGGTAAAAAGAATTAAAGTTGTGTATGGCAAGGCATGCAAGTACTCACTCTCAAAAGCGAGACAAAAAGATCATCAAGAAACAATGTCATGAGAGCGGGAATATACTGTGAAACATCTCTAAGACAAAAACAAACTGAGATAGGCCAAGCAGATTCTGCAGTAAAGGCCTGGAATGCAATCCATGGTAAGGTGGAGGAAAACCGACAAAATCAGCCATTACAGGTGGAAGGCAAGCAATAATGGGAGCAGGTAGGGTGGATCCCAGCCTCCAGGGGCCCACAAGAATGAAATACGGGTAAGAAGTATAAATTATAAATTAAACAAAATTAATGGTATGAAATTGTGTAGTGAAATACACATATGTAATACCTGTTATGTGTTGAAGAAAACAAAATAATTAACCTAACTATCAATTAACCTGGAAGTATAATCACAGGCAAACCATAATTAACAGACATGTATTAAGCCTAAGCTAACAAGATATTAAACTTAATTAGCAATTAACCCATAAGTAGAACAACCAAAAATAACAGACACGTGTTAAGTATAATTGAATAGTGCAGGACAAAGGATATCACTAAGCTCTAAAATAAAAATCTTAATTTAACAATAAGTATGTATAATAATGGGAGAAGAAGTTATTGTGGACCCTGGCTCAAGGGTTTCAGACAAACCTAGTTAATATAAAAGTATTAAAGATAAATGATAATGAAATAAACGTTAATTTGTCAAATGAAATAAGTGTGTATTAACAATAACCTATGTATGAGATGTGACGTATGGGAGAAAAACAATATAGTTAAACAAATGAATATACCAGTAAGATGAATTACAGGTAATCCTAAAATAACAAAAACCCTGGTATCATTGGTATAGGAGAAAAGATACCACTAAGCATAATTTCGAACTTGAACTGGACTATGAGTATCAACCAATCTAAGGAAACTTATGTTATATAAACCAAAGAACTACAGGTAATAATAATAATAAAAATAAGATTTTTCAAAACCATAACACTATATCATCTTATCTTCCCAAAGTTGGCAAACTGTATGTCAAAATGTGCGAGCCCCCAAACTCAAGGCGAGGTCCAATAACGATCAGCTCATTAGACAATCAATCTATCGATGAAGCTGAAAATCTTCCCATGGAGTACCGGTACCTGAAGCCTGTGTAAATGTGCTTGTAGAACAAGTAACCTCTGAAATGGTAACATAGAATTCATAATGCAAAATGAATAGCCAAACACCACTGTGTTGGCAGAAATAAATAAAAAGTTTTGTAATGAAGTAATAAGTTCCATAACCAGGTGGAAATATAAAATAATTCCACTTCAGAATAACACAACAAGTGACAAATATAACTATTGAATCATAAAGAATAAACTTGTTGAAAGAAATTAATAAAAAGAAATGGAAAAAATTAAAATAAAATACTTGAAGAGAGCACAAACTAAACGTTACAACACAAGTACTGCCAAACGAGAAGTGAAAGTTTGGTAGAATTGAACAGAGGGAGCCACATGTATCAAAAGTGTGTGTTGCACTCTTATTGGTGGAGGGTTGTCCCATGATGATTTGCATGCGACATGCATTGGAATCAGTCAAGTCCAGGTGGGTGGGAGTGTCAGAGCTTGTGGAATGTGCCAAAAATATTTTGCATATAGAGGGCAGCACTGAAAGAGAACAGCTGTTCATGTGAGATTAAGTAATGTACCGTATTGGAATTTTTACTTTTCTCAAAAGTGGGTGTGCAATGTGAAATGTAGATTGTGAATTTGTATTTTGATGCAAATAGCTATAAGGAGTTCTGGAATATTCACTTATGTTATCAAGACAAAAACTCATAAGATATTTACTTACCAACTATTTTACATTTTCTTAACAGTTCTAAATGAGTCCAGAACAAATCTCCTGGGTCAGAGGATACTTTTTTTTTAAATTCTGAATGGCT